TCGTTCACCACCATAAGCCGGATTTTTTTATCCTTTTGGAGCCACAGATTAGCGGGGAGGTGGCGAACCGAATATGTGGGAAATTGGGGTTTCCAAATGTCTTGCGAGTTGAAGCCGACGGAAGGAAAGGGGGGATTTGGCTCTGTTGGGACGCTCAAGCTTTCCGAGTGGAAGTGTTGTCGCCGTGTTTTCAGCATCTCACGGTAAAAGTTTCGTCAGCCTCAGCGCAGCCGTGGATTTTGACGGCCGTTTATGCGAGTCCCAGACAAAGTTTGAAGCGGTTCCTTTGGAACACCATCCTCCGATCCAGCGAAGATATTGATCTGCCCTGGCTTCTAACCGGAGACTTCAACGCCATCAAGGATCCGTCGGAGCAAGCAGGACCGGCCACTCCTGCCATCTATCGACGTTGCAAACGTTTCAGCGATAGGATTAGCCAAGTCGAGCTCATTGACTTGGGCTTTTCCGGCCCTCGTTTTACTTGGACCAGAGGAGACACACCCAACTCTTACAAGGCAAGTCTAATTGATAGGAGTCTCTGTAATGCAGCTTGGAATGCGGTTTTCCCCGGCTCGACGGTCACCCACCTCCCCCGGCTCCATTCTGACCACCACCCAATTCTTACGTCTATTGGAAACCAGGGAGTTCACACCGCTTCTCTTTCTCGTCCTTTTAAGTTTGAGGGTGCCTGGCTTACTCATGAGTCTTATAATACTTTTCTGTCTAATAGTTGGGACTCTCAGGTTCCTCTGCAGGAAGCTCTCCAAGATTTGGCCAGCAAGCTGGCTCAATGGAACCAGTGCATCTTCGGAAATATCTATCGTAGGAAGAGAAGATTAATGAGCCGTATTCAAGGAATCCAAACTAAAGTGGCTCATAGCTTCTCGCCAGGTCTCTTCAAACTTCAGGCTAAATTGGAAGAGGAGCTTGATAAAGTCCTGGAGCAAGAAGAGATTCTCTGGTTCCAGCGATCTAGAGAGAAATGGGTCCAATTTGGAGAGCGCAACACGGCCTATTTTCACCAACAAGCCAATATTCGCAGACGGAGGAACAAGATTGAGAGTCTCAAGGAAAACAATGGAGAGTGGATATCTGACCCTCATGAGCTCGCGAGTTTGGTTTTTGACTTCTTCTCTTTTTTGTACTTGCAGGATAACCAGGAGTACACTGATGAGATGCCCAAGCAAGCCTTTTCTAGGATTGCTCAGGAGGACCTCATCCTTCTGCTTCGCCCTTTCACTGGAGAGGACATCCATAGAGCGATGCATGACATGAAGCCCTTCCAGGCGCCGGGACCTGATGGCTATCAAGCTGCTTTCTACCAACACGCCTGGCAAACCGTCGGGAAAGCACTTATTGATATGGCTATCAGCCTTCTTTTCTACAGGAATTCTGCTAGAGAAAGTAGTAGAGTCGACGGTTGTTCTCATCCCCAAGGTGGAACACCCGGAGAGAGTTTCTTAGCTCCGCCCGATCTCTCTTAACAACGTCTGCCTGAAAGCGATCACGAAGGCCATCACCAATCGCCTGAAGCCGATCATGAGGAAGATTGTTTCGCCACGGCAGAGTAGCTTCATCCCTGGGAGACAGACTACTGACAACATTATCGTTTTGCAGGAAGTCCTTCACTCCCTTAGAAAGAAGAAAGGCAAGAAAGGGGGCATCGTGCTCAAGATTGACCTTAAGAAAGCCTATGACAGATTGAGATGGAATTTCTCAGGGATACCTTGAAGGAAGTGGGTCTGCCTAGTTCGTGGATCAATTGCATCATGTTCTGTGTTGAGAGTAATAAAATGCGGCTGCTTTGGAACGGAGAACTCTCTGAGCCTATCACTCCCACCAGGGGGGTCCGCCAGGGAGATCCTCTTTCCCCCTATCTTTTCGTGTTGTGTATGGAAAGACTCTCTCACAGGATCGATCAAGCTATACAGGATAAACTCTGGAAACCTCTGAGACTTTCTGGGGGGGGGGGGCTTTGATTTCTCACCTGTTTTTTGCAGATGATCTTGTTCTTTTTGCAGAAGCGGAGGGGAGTCAGGTGCGGATAATAAAGCGATTCTTAGACAAATTTTTCCATAGCTCCGGACAGAGAGTTAACTATGAGAAGTCGGAAATTTTTGTCTCGGCTAACATCGATAGGCGGAAAGCGAGAGGGCTGTCACATCGGGCAGGCATCCCGCGCATGGTAGATCTCGGGCGCTATCTTGGGGTTATGGCGATTCATGGCCGGGTCACTAGATCAAGATACCAGGACCTGATGTTGCGGATCCAACGGAAGCTTGCTCCCTGGAAGACCAGACACCTTTCTCTCGCTGCTCGGATCACTGTGGTTAAGTCTATTTCGGCCTCTATCCCGATTTACCCTATGCAAACAGAAATGCTCCCGATGAATGTTTGCAGGTCTCTAGATCGGATTAATAGGAGCTTCATCTGGGGGGACACTGATGAGAAGAAGAAGTTGCACCTGGTTCCCTGGCAACGGTTGTTGGCTCCTAAAAAGAATGGAGGTCTGGGCATTAGATTGACTAGAGAGGTGAACATAGCCATGCTGGCTAAAGGCGGATGGCGGGTAATCAAAGAGAAAGAGACTCTTTGGACTCAGCTGGTTCGATCGAAATATGGGAAAGACCAAACTCATCTCAACCTTCTGAGGCCTATTCAGGGAAGTTCCTTTACCTGGTCTAGCATAACTAAAGCTAGGAATCTGCTTAGGAAGGGTTGCGCATGGAATATTCATAGAGGTAATAGTACTAATTTCTGGTCTGATATCTGGTTAACGCAGGTACCTCTTCAGGAACTGGCAACGGACCAGATACCGGAGGAGGATCGAGAGCTTCGGGTCAAGGATTTCGTGGACGAGGACGGGAACTAGAAGACGGAGAAATTCGATCACATACTCCCCTCGGACATAGTGAGGCAAATCACAGCGCGGGTGGTGGACCCTCTCTCAACGGAAGAAGACACCCTGTTGTGGCAACCAACGTCAAACGGAAGATTCTCTACCAAGAGTGCCTACCAGTTGCTTCAAGACACTATCGACGGCGACAACCAGCAGCTTTGGAAGAGGATCTGGAGCCTTACTGTGCCAGAACGGGTGCGATGCTTCATTTGGTTGGTGGCGCAAGGGAGAATAAGCTCGAACGAGGAAAGAGCTAGGAGGCATCTAGTGCACGACTCCTCCTGTTTCAGATGCTCCACTCTTACGGAGACGCCGCTGCATCTTTTTAGGGACTGTCCCCCGACAGCCTATCTCTGGAGCCGTACCTTCCATCAGGATAAGCTTCAGAGGTTCTTCAGCCGCAACTGGAACAGCTGGTTTGAAACCAATATCAACTGCGAGGAATCTTCCCTCTTAGGCCTCCCCTGGAATGTGTTTTTTAGCATTGCCCTTTGGAGCATGTGGAAGAACCGGAATGATGGTGTTTTTCATGGAGTGAACAAGACCCTGTCTGCCCCCTCTCTTTTGCAGACTGTGAAGATCCGGACCGAGCTGTGGTGGAAGGCTTGGAATGCGCCGAGCCCTCTGATGGGGCAGATAAATTCCCCACGTAATCGCATTGAGGCGCAAGTCGGATGGAAGCCACCTCCAGTTGGCTGGACGAAACTTAATGTGGACGGGGCGGCGAGTGCTAATTCCGGAATAGCAGGCGCAGGTGGAGTTTTGAGAGGCGTCGACGACAGCTGGATCAGTGGATTTGTTGCTGGCGTGGGCTCTTGTTCAGCCATCTGTTCCGAGTTATGGGCCATTTTTCATGGTCTTAAGTTGGCTTGGAGACACGATTGCAAGACCCTCATCGTTGAAACCGACTCTCAACTAGCGAACCAACTTGTGAAATAGAGGTTAGACCCTTTACACCCCTATGCAGCGCTCTTAATGGCCATCAGACGTTTGATTGCTCAGGAATGGATTGTGAATCTAGTTCATGTATACCGGGAAGGGAATAGAGTCGCGGACTGGCTCTCGAAGCACAGTCTCGTCTATCCCTACGGTACACATGAATTGGAGACACCTCCGAATGAGCTTCTCCAGCTGCTCCAGGAGGATGCTGAAGGCGCCACTTTTGCTAGACTCATTATCCCTTCTCCCTGTTCTCCTCATCTGTAACTCTCCTCTTCCCTTCCTTTCTTTGGCGTGATGCCTCCCTGTACGCAAAAAAAAAAATGTCCAAGTGTATAAATGAAGAATTGGGTGGCTTTGTTGGTGGATGGAGTAAGGGGATTCTACTAATTATTGGAGTGATTTGTTGAGGGAACTAATATTTACCACTTGCCTTTTTAATACATGTCTGTAAATGGGTGAAGTCCTAAAGGGAAGTGGATAATTAGGGTGCTTAGCTCATCCACGTGTAATAGAGGAAAGTATGTCATGTAGAGGGTAACAACTCTGGTAAAATTGACATATTTTATGATGTCGGTTGAATACTGGGTCCATCAATAATGCATTATGCCTTTGAAACATCCCAGTACACGCCTCATTGTGTGCGCATACTAAGCACTAGGATTACTAGTAAACCGACTTAATTTTTTTTATAAGGGTGACATATTGATGTTTATTGTTAGATGCTACTGAAGGAATTAAATTAAACCCAGCTTAATTATCTTACCTCATATATGATATTTGGCTTGTACAGTCATTGCATACATGATACATCAAACACCCAATTGCCTTGGAAATTGGAATACTTCAGTTGTGAAACCAATTAGCTTTAAGTTTTATTCTTGTATTGACTTTGGCAAGTACCTTTTTAATGTAGTGAAATTGAGGTAAGACTAACTTCTTTGTTATTCTGCTTGATTTAATACCCAGAATCACATATACCTTCCACATGTCATGCACGGGCATGGAGAATTTAGATGACAAAACCATTTTGTTGTAAAATTCAGAATGAGTTCTCGACACCCTTTATATTATTTTTAGGAAAAATATTCTTTTAACTATCATCTTGCCATCACATCCATTATTAAACACCGAAATTGGTTGAGCACCTGAGCTGAAAACGCTCATTAGAGTGACAAGATGATCCATCCCAAATGGCTGCGAGTGAAGTTCTCAGTTAATTTTCAGAATCTTGAGCGCAAAGAATGACAGTCCCTCTGCGCTTCCCGCAAGAAATCTAATATCAGTGAAACTAGGTTCTCCTGATGCGACGTGTATTCATGATCAGCACCATCTACAATGCACAGGCGATGGTTTCTTATGCGCTTCGAAAATTGCACGGCATCTTCAACTGGTACAAGCTGGTCTTTGGATCCATGTACCGTCAACACCCTGAAATGTATACATGTGGACAAGAGGGGTGAAAATGGACATGTCTGGTATGTGTGCTCTACTTGCTTCTAAATTTTCTGGGTAGGAAGGAGAAGTAGAAACTAAGCGAGGTGTGCAAAGCCCAGAAACTAGTCGAAGAACTGTGATCTAGCATATGAGATAAACAGAGAACAGATGGTTTCATTCCACACCCCAACATAACTGAAACATGATAAGATTGAGATGCTAATGAGGATAAGGATAAATAGCACTTGGTTAGGGAAATATGATGCTTCTCACCGGCATTCTTGGGGAACCAATAAGCATGCTCTGTGAGTATCAGTGTTTAGACGATCCATCAGGCTCTTTTCAGTCACACGAAAAGCTACCTCGCCTGCCATTTAATCGAAAGAAAACTAGTTCTCAGAAAACTTTAAACAGAACTAGATTCAAAACTAGTTCTCAGAAAACTTTAAACAGAACTAGATGCATTTCTAGAGACCATCAACAACATATAATACGGGTATATGAACTTCCAAAGTTGAAGAAGCACCCTATTATTAGTAACAATTGAATAATGGCACAGATTGTAAGAATATCCTATCTGACCTTTTCTATTCCTAACATCAATGTATCCAGTTTCTTTGATCCTGCGGAGGTAGTCTTTGCCCAGTCGACCTTCAATGCCTCTCTCCAGATAAAATCGACCAGAAATGTTCACAATCGTATCAACATCATTGTACTTTGAAGCATATAAGAGGACAACGTTCCCCCCTGCAAGGAGCCCTTCTGTCAAACTACTTCCATAACTACTCCTCGTAGCGAAAAACTAATCAGAACACCACATATATGATATATATCAGAAAAATCCTGTCACTTTATATAATTTTTGTAACTCATCTAAAACCAAGAGGAATGAAGATTTAAGGAAAACAAAAGGCTAGCCCAATGAAAGTGGGTTACAAGTACAAGGGAACGGCAGCATTTCGTCAAATATTATAGCTTGGAAGAAGAATCTAACTTGTATCTGAAATATTCATTAACATTAGATCCGGACTCACAAAATAATGTCCATTTTGGAGACTTATCCATCCGCTAATATCCCAAAACAGAACCAGAAAATCACAAATCTGCAGGACAAAGGAGTTGGAGCAAGCATGCAATTACAGGCGTAAGACTTAAAATATGGAATAACAAATAACTGACCTTTGCTATGCCCAATAAGTACTTTTATTTCATGTGTCTCACGAAAGTGTAACACTACGGAACGTAGATCATCGGCTTCACTATGATAATTGCCATACTGGAACGATCCTTCACTCTCCCTAGAAAATGCAAAAACAAATATGAGGTTTGCTCAAAATTGGAGATGCTGAAATGTAAGCATAATTTCAGCATGCACCTAAAGCAATCTTAGAGACATGACATGAATAATTGACCTGGTCATTATCCAGACATTTACTAGATGACATAACCATAGATAATATATAGACAAGTGACAAATGACAGTAGCATGATGGCACCTAATATTCTAACGAACACTAGCATCATATTGAGCAACCTTCAGAAGTGTTCAGATTTCTTGCTCAAGATTCCAGACATTTTGAACCAAATTGCTGCCACCAAGAATTAAATTGCAGTACAAATCAGATCACAGTAGACACTGTTTTTGGCAAAATTGAGAATCCAAGAAATGAAAATGCATGAAGTTAATCCCACGAGGCAATGGTGAGTTGGAGTCACCCCTATCTAAAACTATAAGTCCCAAAAGAGTTTGAAGCAAGTCTAAAGTGTGAATAAATTGCACAACGATACATCATATAAATTATATTCCCAAGGATTAGCACCATATCTATGGGTATTCAAACTGGAAGGAAATACACAACGATTCTTTGCAAGACTTTGTAGCATCCTTCTAATTAGTGAAATGCTCACCCATTTCCAGCAAAATCAAAGCGGAAAGCACATGTTCCTCCCCTCTCTATCGCAGCAGCAAGATTCACCATTGGTATGCGTTCCTGGAGGGGGGAAAGAAGACAATTATGAAACTAAACTGAAGCCTCCCATCAAAGGATCAGCAAACATGTTCTGTTTAATCATATAGAATGAGATTAATCACCTTGGAAGACTGAAATCCATGGCAAATAATGACAAGCTCCTTGGAACCAGTATCATGAAGAATCCCAACAAGCTTTTCTCCTTGTTGGTTGCTGATAACAACTTTTGTTTGCACTGCTACGAGCATATCAAGGGAAAGCGTGAAAACCCCAAAAGAATTATAAAACAAACAACTAAGAAATTGAGGCCTCATTGTTGGCATGCGAGACAACCAGAGGCAGAGACCGAGCGAGGAAATGAACTAGCTATGCCTGTTATGAAGTACTGGTAACATTGTAAACTCAATGCTAAACTGTTTATGACAAATAGCTATTGTTCCACTAGGAGAATCAGCAAGTGACTACAGAACTGATTAGTTCACACTACCGGAGCTAATTCCTCCCCCATCCCATCCTCAAGCAAAATGTCAAGACTCAAAGCAACCAATCAACAAAACATCCTCCGTAACCGAAGGGCTGCCAATATCATCGTCACGGACCAATGATTCAAGGTAATCTGCCGCTTTTCATCGAATAGCTGACTTCCGATGAAACCCTGGTCCGTTCTTGAATTTGGGGTCTGTTGCGAAAGAAACTCATCATACAGGATTGAGTACATCAAGCGGAGAAAATAGAGCTAACCTGAGTTCAGGGATTGGTCTTTGAGGGACTCGACGGGTTTAGACATGGAAGTTGCTTCGGTGTCGTCCCTCCACTGCCTTAAACAACAATAGACGGAGATCTGCCAAATTCTAGTTGGTTAACAAAAAACTTAATCGACATATACACTCTAGTTTTGAGGAAAATTCTGCCGTCTTAGGTTCTAGAGGTGAAACCAAACCATCAAACAAGAGAGGGATGGAAGAGTGGCAGGAATGAGAAGATGCCCATAAAAAATAAAGAGAAGAGGGTTGAGTGACCCGAGTCCGCAATCAGCCGCAGAAGTTATTATGCTAACAGGGCAAACCGTTAGCAGATACTAACAGGGCAGGATGAAGGGCCACGTCGGCCCATGTTTGATCCAACGGAGGAGCTCTCGCGCGTGGTGGTGGCTCACTTAAGTGAGCTGAAGGTGGGCCAACCGGCCCAGCGTGCGGCGGCGAGCGGAGCTACACAAGTGGCGTGGTGGGCCCGGCTTGATTTTGGGCGGGAGAATGGAGAGGAGTGGAAAGAGAACCAAATTTTATGGGCCCATGTTAGTATTATGTATGTGTTGTTTGTGTGGATATTTATTTGTTCTCAGTCGATATTAATTTATGTTATGTTGATATTGCTTTGTATCATTGTTGAAATTTTGGGCCGTATTATTCCTTTGCAAAACAATATCCTACACACTATCAAGTCCTAACACGTAAGGCTTGCAACCTTAGTTAGGGCTGCCCGCCGAGGGCCCATGGGCCGAAGGCCCATTAAATAATATTAGTTTTTATTGACGAGCGATTTATTTTTTAGGGTTTAGGGTTTAGGTTTGGTTTATGGTTTACGGTATAGAGGTTAGGGTTAAGGTTTCAACATAAGGGTTTGGGTTCTGTTTAGGGTTTAGGGTTTTGTCTGGTCAGTATGAATATCTATTATTTCCTAATTATATTGTTTTTAGAGTTTATTTAGTAGTGTTGATTGTTTAGGGTTTAGGGTTCAGTGTTTACGGTTTAGAGTTTAGGGTGATAGAGTTTATTTGAACCCGAGGAAACATTCCCTTAGTTCATGTGTTTGGATATTTTTGTGGAACCCGAGGAATATTATCAGCTTGGGAAAACAATAATAGTTTTATTTTTTTAGTGTTTAGTGATTAGGATGATAGAGTTTAAACTTTAGGGTTTAGGGTTAGGGTACAAATAATAGATATTAGTTTGTGTGTTGTGGATACTTGTCTTTCCTAGTTGTAATACTTTTTTCGGTCATTCCGATATTTGTTCAAAATATTATGATTTTTTTCCGGGTTGTGTGGATATTTATTTGAACCCGAGGAAATATTCCTTTAGTTCATGTGTTTGGATATTTTTCTGGAACCTTTGAATATTATCAGCTTGGGAAAACAATAATAGTTTTATTTTTTTATAGTTTAGTGATTAGGGTGATAGAGTTTAAAGTTTAGGGTTTAGGGTACAAATAGTAGATATTAGTTTGTGTGTTGTGGATACTTGTCTTTCCTAGTTGTAATACTTGTTTCTGACATACTGATATTTATTCCAAATATTATGATTTTTTTCCGGGCTGTGCAGATATTTATTTGAACCTGAGGAAACATTCCCTTAGTTCATGTGTTTGGATATTTTTGTGGAACCTTTGAATATTCTCAGCTTGGGAAAACAATAATAGTTTTATTTTTTTAGTGTTTAGTGATTAGAATGATAGAGTTTAAACTTTAGGATTTAGGGTTAGGGTACAAATAATAGATATTTGTTTGTGTGTTGTGGATACTTGTTTTTCCTAGTTGTAATACTTGTTTCTAACATACTGATATTTATTCAAAATATTTTGAACATTCACTTAGTTCATGTGTTTGGATATTTTTGTGGACCCTTTGAATATTCTCAGCTTGGGAAAACAATAATAGTTTTATTTTTTTAGTGTTTAGTGATTAGGGTGATAGAGTTTAAAGTTTAGGGTTTAGGGTACAAATAGTAGATATTAGTTTGTGTGTTGTGGATACTTGTCTTTCCTAGTTGTAATACTTGTTTCTGACATTATGATATTTATTCAAAATATTATGATGTTTTTTCGGGTTGTGTGGATATTTATTTGAACCCGAGGAAATATTCCTTTAGTTCATGTGTTTGGATATTTTTCTGGGTTGTCTCGATATTTTTCTGGGTTGTCTGGATATTTAATTGAATCTGAGCAACATGGTTTCAGATTGTTTTCCCCGTAGTGAAACAACTGAAATGACAGGTACACCACGGATTCAACACAAAATACTCTACCACTAACTTTTCGGTACTGTTTTAGCGTTATTGGTCACACATACAAATCCAAGTTCCCCGTGAAAGTTGAAACCATTGCTTAATTACTAATTACTAGGATGAGTTCGTACTACATCACACATGCAAATCCAAATGAAATTCACAAACTGCCTTGCTCCATTCCATCGACGATAGCACAGCATTCTCCGGGGTGATCTTACGGGGTAGTCAAAATTCCAACCGCTCCTATAAGCCGCTTCTGGACTCCTCTCACCGCTCCTTTAAGCCGCTTCTACCAACTCCTCCTCTGTAGGCAACATTCCGGTCTCTGCAAGTTGAGAGAACGACTCCACCACATCTGTAGCTGGCTCAACTTCCTCGGCACTAGCAACGCTAATAGCCTCATGAGCTATCTGCAAAATGTCCTCAAAAGAGGTATCTGGGAATGGGTAGTGTATCACCATAGGGACTGTCGGCTCAACCAACTCCTCGTCCGGTATCTCTACAGTGTTCTCAGCTTCATTCTCCACCACCTCAAATCGATTCTTCTCTTGAGGATCTTCTTCACATTTCTCTCCAGTTGTCTCCACTTGTGGCTCGACCTGGTCCTTCTCTAGAGGCTGCTCATCCAATTCCATTTTAGCTTCACTATTCTCCACTCGGTCTTCGACCACATCTGTTTTAAGCTGCTCTAGCACCTCTTCAACAGTATTCTCCACTCGGTCTTCCTTCTTTTCTATCATATGTCCCAGTTTTGTTGCAAAGTCCAGCAATTTTCCCATATGCCGGTCAATCCCAGCACCTAGTACCTTGAGCTGGAAGACAAACGAACATTTTGCGGGAATTAAAAACTATATCCAAACTGCTCGTACAATTATCCCATGTACCCAGACTATTATCAGAATAGAGCGTACAAATATTCTACTTGGCAGAATTGATATCCAAACATAACAAACACAAATATCCAAATGCATCAAATTAATATCCAAACATCACAAACCATTATTCATAACTGAAAATAACAACAAATATTCAAACATTATTCAAACATCACAAACCATTATTCAAACATCACAAGCTGATATCCAAATGCAACCAACAAATATTCCAGAACAACAAACTAAATCCGACTAATATCCTAAGCCATTCCAACATGGCATCAAATTCGTGGAAAACAGTACAACCCCCCACCATACAAACATTCACTCTTGCTCTTCCAAATTCTGGACAATCGTTTGGACCTTGTCCCTTCGAGCCACCCACTTTTCAATCATGCTCTCAATGATTTCCTTCAATCCCTTAAGCTACACATATGTTGTGAAATATTTAGGTTACTTTATCGTCCAAGTCTACCAATGCACGATCTTAGTTAGGGAGGAAGAAAACATTTTACCTGCCCCAGCGAAAGGCTAGTCAAATCTTCAGTCTCCCACCATTCCGCGGTGGGCAACGGTGCACGATCTGGAGGAGGAGCTGAACTGCTCGCAGCTGCTGCACTAGCTGCCGGCTCGAGCTGCCTGCGAGAGGCGACTTCTTCCCTACTCAGCAGAGCGGCAGCTAGGTCATATCTTCCCCTGACTACGGGGATAGATGTGGCTGCCCTCTCGACAGTTTGCTTCCACCAAAACCGGCAGCTAGGGATGCTCTTTGTGTGCAGCCCGCCTAGTTTCAGAGAGTCCAACAGATGGAGCTGTAAAAAAAATTACAATTAATAAATGTTAAGTTCCATTTTTAGCAATTTAAACAATAAATATCCAGAGTCAACACAAACAGAATCGAATGTGACTAAACTGATATCCAGAAATCATTTTAAGCTAGTTTTCATGCAAAAAGTATCTTATGTGACTAAACAAATATCCAGCAGATCATACTCAAATACGAAATTCACTAGTTTTCATGCAATTGAACCAACAAGTATAGAAAAGGTTAGGACTTACTGTCAAGAAGTAGCAATCTCCGAGAACTCACACGCACGGCGAGCGCAACAACCTTGCACTAGGTTCTTTTCTCTTGGCAGCAATCAACTCTACTTTCAGTTCACGGACAATAAATGTGCACCAATCGTACACCCTCACGTCCTCAACACTCCCACCTAAGTATGGGGCGAAGTCCAGCTTGCACCTACGAGAAAATGTCGGCACGAGCATCGAACCAGTAGCTAGCAGCAAGAATTGCTTGACAGCAATTGCAACAGGTGGTCTGGGACCGTTGACTGGAATGGCCAACTCCCGCATCTGCTTGATAGAAACCATGCGAGCCCTGTTCGGAATCATGCCAACTTCCTCGCTGAAGCTGTCAAGCATCCCCCCTCCACGTTCTTCAAATCAATCACAAACCCACCGAGAGGAAGGTCGTAGGCACGTGCCACATCCTCAGCTGTGAAGTCGAAGACCTTCTTCGACTCTCCTTCCCCAAAAACAAAAGTACTGGTTTCTAAGTCATAAGCAGCCATCAAGTCATCCATGAAGACATTGGGTATCTTCGGCATGCGAAGCTCCAATAGGCCCCCAAATCCTGCCTTCTCGACTTGTTTCTTGCAGGCTTCATAGTATTCAGCATCTTCTTTCCAGTACTTTATAATTTTGCAGAGGGAATAGGTGGACCCACGAAATCTGAAATATGAGCCGCATGGACCTTCTCCCTCTCCATCATCAACTTCTTCCTCATCTTCCTCCTCAACTTCTGGAATAGCAGGTGGCGGCTGCCTTGATTTTTCTCCTTCACGAGATCTCGATGCAACCATTTTCGTTCTCTTCATCCCGGGTTGTTCCTGAAACACAGTTATATATTAAGCAAAATATCCATAATCCTTGGACAAATAACTAAAACGCACACTTATATACAATACAATTATCGTAGTAAAGCAAAAGTGTATCCAAACGGAGATAACTGATATCCATGAAAAAAATATCCATAATACCCAGAAATAAACTAAAACGAACAGTTAAGTATCCAACTTAACAGAACTGATATCCACACATCAGACACATTAGATTATTTTTTTTGCAAATACATACAATTATTATCGTAGTAAAGCAAAAGTGTATCCAAACGGAGATAACTGATATCCATGAAAAAAATATCCATAATACCCAGAAAAAAAACTAAAACGAACAGTTAAGTATCCAACTTAACAGAACTGATATCCACACATCAGACACATTAGATTATTTTTTTTGCAAATACATACAATTATTATCGTAGTAAAGCAAAAGTGTATCCAAACGGAGATAACTGATATCCATGAAAAAAATATCCATAATACCCAGAAAAAAAACTAAAACGAACAGTTAAGTATCCAACTTAACAGAACTGATATCCACACATCAGATTATTTTTTTTTGCAAATATATACAATTATTATCGTAGTAAAGCAAAAGTGTATCCAAACGGAGATAACTGATATCCATGAAAAAAATATCCATAATACCCAGAAAAATAACTAAAACGAACAGTTAAGTATCCACATTAACATAACTGATATCCACACATCACACACATCATTTTATTTTTTTTAGCCAATATAACTAATCGAGAAACGAAGTGAGAAATCAAACCTTTGGTGGTGGTTCATCCGGCGGCTGCTGTGATGATCCAGCTGCTTCACGAGATTTCGCTGAAGATTTTGGTGCAACAGTTTTGGGTTTCTTCCTCACGGGTTGTTCCTGAAAAATAGTTAGATATTAACAAAAGTATCGATCAATGAAAATATTAAAATGCATCCGACTAGTAATCTTTAGCCAACATAACCAATCGAGAAACGGAGTAAGAAATTAAACCTCTTGTTGTTGTACATCAGGTGGCTGCTTTGATGATCCTTCTCCCTCATTGTTGGGCTTCTTTTTCGGTCTCCCCATTCACTGAAACAATAAACAAAATGACCACAATAAGTATCACAATTGACGAAAATGATATCCATATTGAACAAAAACAAGGAATCGACAAATGATACCCAGATTGAACAAAATCGTATCCAACAAACCCCCAAAATGGAATTCGAGAAACCATAATGAAACAATATAAAAAATGCCCCGAATAAGTATCATAATTGAAAAAACTGATATCCATATAACATTTCACCAACGAATCGACAAATGATACCCAGATTCAACAAAATCGTATCCAACAATATCCATGTAACATTTAATCAAGGAATCAACAAACAATACCTACATTCCCCAAAATCATATCCAACAAACCCCCAAAATCTACAAATCGATAAATGAAACCATAAACCCCAAAATTCGAACCCCACAGACCCAGAATCTGGTAATCTGCAAAAAAAACCCTAACCACCCATATTCGAATCTATGAAACCCTAAATCTACAAATCGAAGAACGAATCCATGAACCCCCAAAACGAAACCCTAAACCCCCAAAACGAAACCCTAAACCCCAAATTCGAATCCCACGGACACAATATCTGGAAATCGAGAATCAAAACCCTAAACACCCTAAATCGAATTGCATGAACCATAAATTTTCAAATCCATAAACAAAACCCAGATTTCCACACAAAAAATCCATGAACCGAAACCCTAACATAAATTTTCAAATCCATAAAGAAAATGAACAACCTCAGCGTCTTCTTCTACCTCCAACTATCGGCGGCGACGGCGGCGGAGTTCTTCGTCGGCGAAGTCGGCGGCGTCTTCTTCTTTCTTCTCCGTAGGCGGCGTCTTCTTCCTCGTCGGTCGGGAGAGCTTCAAGGGCAACGTCGGCGGTACATCCAGCAACAAGTCGCCGACCTCGCAGCCGTCGTCGCCGTCGCCGCCGTCGAAGATCGTCGCTGTTGGTGGTGGTTTTCGGGAGAAAAGAAGAAGAGAGGGAGAGGGTTCGAAAGTTCGTGGAGAGAGAGGGGAGAATGGCTGACCGCGGGTTTGAAATTTTGGGTTTTACTTTTTTTTTTTTTTTTATTTCTGTCCCAAATGTGGCTCGGCTTGGCCCCAAAATCCCTCCCCCCCTCACAGAACAGCGCCGGCGATTCTCACCCCTCCGATGGTGGCTCGCCTACGTGGCTCCTCATCTCACCGTGTTAGTATATGCTAACTACTAACACAGTTAGCAGAATAACGCTATTGGCAATCAGCCAGCCTCACTCTCTAGCTTCCTCGTCGACTATGATAAGCCCCAATTTTTGTGATCGTCTCCTCCGCAATTCCATTTCCACCTCTCTCTCTCTCTTCTGTTCGTGTTTTAAGCTAGTCGTGGGTTTTTTACGTAGAATTTGATGATGCGGAATTGAAATAGAACACACGAAACAACGATTTTACGTGGTATCCTCGATCGATTGATTGACACTTCGGAACGAGCCGACAATGACGATGGCGCCTGTGACTGGTCGGAGATGATGACATCGAGCATACCAATGGCCATGACTGCGCAATGTTGACGGCGGAAAGGACTTGTTCGGATGGTGACTTGCGTCGATGACATGATGACTGTCAGGGACTCTAAATTATACGCCTGACGGAGGGTTGCCTGACTTGTGACTGAACAAACAGGAGCTTTACCACCAGTTGTCGAGCTTGACTCTTCGGCGGATACGATGAAGCAGCTCAAGACATATCTCAGTAGCATAGAGGATGACTTGAATCCCAAAATCAAGACCTTGATCTTAGGTGTTGAAACACGGACACCCTTGGCGTCAAAATTGAGATCCTAATCGTGACTTCTTGTTGACCACGATGAACTGAACTTCGGAGGCGGGACAACGCCAACAAAAAGAGGAACCACGGTCCACAATCAAGTAGCAGATAGATGAGCAGATTCGGCAGTGTTCCTTGACGTATTTCTGTGCAGACGGCGCAAAACAGAAAACTCATGGTCAGCTGTTACTGGATCTCGCTCGCTGTTGG